AACTGAAGAAAAAACCCAAATAGTTGTCGTCTTAATTACTGGACAAAGATTTTTGAACAATGCGTTAGAATATAAATCTTAGAAAAATGTTGGGTTCTCAACTACGCAGCATTCACTGCCAACTTGTGTTGAAGATTTAAGTCGGAATAAATTTAAAACAGATAGTGCAAACACCACTATAACGATGAAAAATCCCAAAAAAATTTTTTGTTTGTAGGAACCTACAAAATCAGAAAACCTTTTAAAAAAAGCAACTATTCCGAATTTGTCAATTTGATTGAACTTCTCCCAAGACTATCACATCCGTTTTTACTCCAAATGATATAGTGAAAACATTTCTAATCTCAAATTTTCGCCACTAAGTTCTGGATGATGCGTCCGCTCAGCTGCGCTTTGTAAGGAAGTCAAGACAAAAAGTAGATTACAGTGTATTTGAAAATTTTCCTTAGGAAGAGCTGGAAAATCTTCGTAGAAATATTTGTTTTCATTGTTGTTAAATGAAAGACAATGAGCTGTGGAAGTCTCTGATGAAACAACTTCTGTTCCACGCCGATTTTTTCTGAGCACTGTCAATTCAGACTATTGATAAGTGAAAAAAAATTTCACGAAAAGAAAGCACAATAGCTGAATTCGTAGCCATTGCGACTGCTATTCTTGTTATTGAAGCATTACTAAACTTTTTCTTGAATATCAAGTTTTCGACGAAAAGGAAAGATAATGTTCTGGCAATTCTGCGAGCTTGTGCAATCAAGAGATTTCTAGTCTCGCGCACTATCCCCTCAGCCACTCAAGCTTAAAAACCGACAAACACTATCACGAATAAAGCAGCTACTTATGCTAATAAATTGTCAATGCGACTCAGCAAACGTAGCACCAAACCAATTAGACTCAGTTTTGCAAATAAAAATTTATATTATAACTAATTTGGCAAGTATCAAAATTGCAAAAAATAAAGCGAAAAATGTATGAAATATGCATTTCAAAAAATTGCCAGATACATAGAGTTAAAAAGCTTCTGAAATCGAGTTTTGATTATTGATGTTTCAAACAATTCCTTTTTTGCGGTTCCTTTGAGAAATTAAAAATGCATCAACTAAGTTAACTTGTTACATTTCGAATGCCTTAAAAGTGGCACCAATATTTGCGAATTAGGTTGCGAAAAAAGAAGGCTCGTACTAATACACAAAGGTAATCAACTTGCATTGATTTGTTTAAAGGCGTGCAAAATTCCGTTTCAATAACGATTGTCAAGGTGGCGCAAGAAGCGTAGTAGTTGCTTTAAGTTTCAAAATTGATTTCAATTTACAGATGCTACAGCAGAATTAAGATTTTACCAAGTGCTTCAGATTTAATTTGTTTTTGTCGTGTGTTTGATTTTGAACACAATTTTGATACTGATAGACAAAAAGGCAGTTGGGAAAACGTCTTCAAAAAGTTAGCTTATTTAGTTTTCAAAAGTGCATAAAAAGTCACACATTTCTTCTGACTTTCTCTTAACTGCCTATTCTTTAGGCTTAACATCATCTGTTTTTTCCGGGATGTTGTTGATGCTTTTTTAAGAGTCAACGAACATAGTTCAGACGCTTATGTAGGTGCTGATAATTGTTTTCCTTTTTTGTCAAGAAGTCTTTTACAGAAAAAAATTTTAGGTTCCAATTTAAATTTCGGGGTTAGAAGTTTTTCGGGTTAGAGATTTCCTACACTATTTTTTTAATTAGTTAAACTTCTTTGTTTTTTAACAGCAAAATCCACTATTGAATAGCATAAAAATTACGATCACAAAAACCGTGAGACTTCTAATTCCAAGTTACACGGGCAGCCGCTTTAAGGTCAAATATTAAACGACACTCTTTGCCCTGAATAACAAGGCTTTAGATTAAACAGGGGTGCATTTAGGGGAACGAGACGGAGCTAGAAGAATACACCATTTTTTTATATATGGAACACAGGTGGTTTTCAAAAATTGTTTTTAATGAATCTCTTATTTCACATACTTGGGTCACGGAAGTGATTTTTTTTGCAGTAGACACCAAAATTTGCCAGATTCTGATTACATAAATCAATGAGTTAAATTACTTTTCGTTCACGCATGTTTTCGCAATTTAACGAAATTTCACTAAACTTTGTAATGAACAAGCATATCGTGCGGTTTTAAAACCGTAAAAAAACTATTCTTTTCAAACTCGTTCTAGAGTCAACCAACATAATTCGGACGATTATATAGATGCTGATAATTGTTTTCCTTTTTTGTCAAGAAGTCTTTTACAGGAAAAAAAATTTTCCGGCTCAAGTTTAAGTTTCGGGGTAAAACGTTTTTCGGTTTAGACCTTTTCTAGACTATTTTTTAAATTAGTTAAATTCTTTTGTTTTTAACACAGCAAAATCCACTATCGAATAGCATGAAAATTACGATCACAAAAACCGTGAGACTTCTAATTCCAAGTTACACGGGCAGCCGCTTTAGGATCAAATATGACACGACTATCTTTGCCCTGAATAACAAGGGTTTACATTAAACTGGGGTGCCGTTTAGGGAATGAGACGGAGCTAGATGAATACACCATTTTTTTTATATATGGAACACAGGTTGTTTTCAAAAATTGATTTTAATGAATCTCTTATTTCACATAATTGGGTCACGGAAGTGATTTTTTTTGCAGTAGACACCAAAATTTGCCAGATTCTGATTATATAAATCATTGAGTTAAATTACTTTTCGTTCACACATGTTTTCGCGATTTAACGAAACTTCACTAAATTTTGTAATGAACAAGCTTATCGTGCGGTTTTAAAACCGTAAAAAAATTATTCTTTTCAAACTCGTTCTAGAGTCAACCAACATAGTTCGGACGATTATATAGATGCTGATAATTGTTTTCCTTTTTTGTCAAGAAGTCTTTTACAGAAAAAAATTTTCCGGCTCAAGTTTAAGTTTCGGGGTAAAACTTTTTTCGGTTTAGACCTTTCCTAGACTATTTTTTAAACTAGTTAAATTCTTTTGTTTTTAACACAGCAAAATGCACTATCGAATAGCAAAAAAATTACGATCACAAAAAACGTGAGACACTTCTAATTTCTAGTTACACGGGCAGCCGCTTTAAGGTCAGTTATAACACGACTATCTTTGCCCTGAATAACAAGGATTTATATTAAACAGGGGTGCAATTAGGGGAACGAGGCCGAGCTAGAGGATTAAACTAATTCTTTATATATGGAACACAGTTTTTTTCAAAAATTGATTTTAATAAATCTCTTATTTTACATATTCGGGTCAAGGAAATTATTTTATCTGCAGTAGACACCAAAAAAGCGATTCTGATTATACAAATCATTGACTTAAATTATTTTTCGTTCACGCATGTTTTCGCAATTTAACAAAACTTCACTGAAACTTGTGCTGAACAAGCTTGTCGTGCGGTTTTAAAACCGTAAAAAAACAACATTATTGTTTTTTAACTTGTTCTAGAGTCAACCAACATAGTTCGGACGCTTATATAGATGCTGATAATTTTTTTTTCCTTTGTCAAGAAGTCTTCTACAGAAAAAATTTTTCGGCTATTTTAAATTTCGGGGTTAGACGTTTTTTGGGTTAGACTTTTTCTACACTATTTTTAAATTAGTTAAATTCCTTTTTTAACAGCAAAATCCACTATCGAATAGCATAAAAATTACGATCACAAAAACCGTGAGAGACTTCTAATTCCTAGTTACACGGGCAGCCGCTTTAAGGTCAAATATGAAACGACTATCTTTGCCCTGAATAACAAGGCTTTAGATTAAACAGGGGTGCATTTAGGGGAACGAGACGGAGCTAGAGGAATACATCAATTTTTTATATATGGAACACAGGTTTTTTTCAAAAACTGATTTTAATAAATCTCTTATTTTACATATTTGGGTCACGGAAGTTTTTTTGCAGTAGACACCAACAAATTGCCAGGTTTTGACAACACAAATCTTTGACTTAAATTATTTTTCGGTCACGCATGTTTTCGCGATTTAACGAAACTTCACTGCAATTCTTGCTGAACAAGCTTATCGAGCGGTTTTCAAACCGTGAAAAAAAATTATTCTTTTTAAACTCGTTCTTAAGTCAACCAACATAGTTCGGACGCTGCTATAGATGCTGATAAATTTTTCCTTTTTTGTCATGAAGTCTTTTACAGAAACATTTTTCAGGCTAACTTAATTTTCTGGGTAAAACACGTTTTTCGGGTTAGACTTTTTCTACACAATTTTTTAAATTAGTTAAGTTCCTTTGTTCTTTAACAACGCATAATCCACTATCGAATAGCAAAAAGATGACGATCAAAAAAAAAACGTCATCCACTTCTAGTTTCTATTTTTTTTTCAAGGTATCTATTTTTTTCTTTTAAATTCGAGTTAATATTCATTAAAATCAATACTTTTTTCTGTTTACTTGCGTTCATTGCCTATTTTCTAGCTGTCTGTTGGCCATGTTTTTTCTTGTTTTTAACTTTTTGACTTCAAATTTTCTAATGCATACCATGATCAGAAGAGCATAACATTCTCCAAGCACAAAAACTGAAATAGCATGAAAAAACGAGGTTGAATTTCTATAGCAAAAATGCATGTAAATTTTTAGATTTCCCAAACAAAAAACTAGTTTTTTTTTGGAAAAATACACCTATTACAAAAACAATCAAAGCGTTAATATTTTTTGACATTTGAAATCGGAAGTAGAAAAAAATCAATTGTTCTCTGGATTTCCCAGCGGAACAAAAGCTTCACTATCCGTTTTTTTAACGTGGTTCGTTCTTTAAAATAAAAATTCAATAATCAAACCTTATTGAACTTCAGAGCTCATTTTTATTGAGAGAAAAGGCTTCAGAAAATCCTCATAGCTTTCTTGGAAAAAATTAATTTCTAAACATCAAAGAGTTTGTTTAGTTTACGGTCACTTCAACTGTCTGTTGACTGCTGTTTTGTTGCACTCCTTTTAGCGACCAATGTGGCTGAGTGGAATTTTTGTTGTGCAGATATTATATCCTCTTGATTGTGCTGATGGGTTTTGTGGGTCCGTGTTCGTGGGGACTGCTGTCATCCCTCATCATAGCGGCCTATTGGCGCATGGGGGAGTGGAAAATGGACAGATACTTCACATTGCTGTTTGGAGTGGGACTGACGATAATGGGACTATTTCTCTCTTTCCTCCGCGCCCCCTCCTTCCTTTGATCCCCCCAGTCAACAAAATCATAAAATGACAGCGCGGATATTTCTGACCGAGATTTTCAGATCCAACGCTATTCTCAACTTGAAACAATTGTTCACTTTGCACTTACATGAACAGCCAATTCAACTTCAGTTAATACACGACAATCTTTGCCCGCTATAACATGGCTTTATATTAAGCAAAGGGTGGCTTTAGGGGAACAAAACGCCAGAGGAATACTGAGTTAGGACCGAAGTGTAACTCATAGAGTAATTTCGGATAGGGTACACCGTCTGCTCGTCACGCTATCTTATTTTCGGCCGGATAGATTCGTGCAACTTCTTAGTCTAATACCGATCCTAATCTTACTCTTATACTATCTAGTCTCAGGTTGTTTAACTAGTCTCTGCTAGGCTCAATAGATCTAGGGTATACTGGTTTATTGCGGCTGCTGAAGTGCTCGGGAGAGTCCAACTAATTTCTAAGTTAAATTCAAATCTCTCTGGTGCTGAAATTACAAGTAACTTCAGCACTTACAAATAAGTGGGTTGTTAGTTAGATGGATTGTGATTGGTTAATATTAAATACTTTACATTGGTAAAACATTTAATTTATCCAATCATAAAATATAGTTTAGATCAGGTTCCACCCATCCGGGTTTTACAGAGTTTTTTAGAATAGTTCTTTTGCAATTCGAAGGATGGATGATGGAAGTTGGTGTTTGGCGAACATCTTATTTCTTCTGTTTCCTTTTTGTTAAAGAAGTTCCAGGAAGCTGGAGTTAGAGACTTAAGACGTTGTGTTCTTTTTGTGACAACGACTAAGTCTTCGCAGCAAACTCAAATCTGATTTCAGAATGGTTTGCTATGTCAGGTTTTTCTGTTCTGCGTGGAGAACTTCTTTTGTGTATGATCTAGTTTGGGAATGGCGTGGAGATTGTGCGTGGAGGGGATGCCTGGTTACTCGGATCTGTACGTATACTTGAACATCGAGGTGGTCATTGGTCTAGTTCAATGAAGTCCTTTTCTGCGAGGTCAAGTCGTACTCTAAATCCTTTGAGTTGTGATTGTGAGCGGCATATCGATTGTAGTTGGTCATTCTCTCTCGAGTGTAGTGGGGTCGTCTTGTCTTTTGATGTTCGTCCTTGGTGTTGTATTCTGATCTATATATTGCATCATGTGATTTTACATTTTATAAAACTTTTATTAGTTTAATATTTTTTAATAATGATTTTAGTTAGTTGTTTTCACAAAAGCTTTTTGTTTTAGTTCGGTTATTTTGAAGAGTTACTCACACTTGAGTAGCTCTTATTAAAAATAGTGGTGTGGTCACAAAGCGTGGATGTAGCGCGGTGGGTTAGGCCGGCTATAGAGCATGCTCAGGACGTCCTTCCTGGTGGGTTAGGCCAGGAGTGGGAGTATGATTTCATGCGGTTTTTGTGAGGGGTCCTGTTATGTGACAACGTTTTATGTTGGGTTTGTTGTGGTCTTACTTATGTTTTGTTGGTTGTGTCCTTTTTTCAAAAATCAAATTGTTTGTGGTATGGGTTTGTCTTTCGACTTTTTTGTGTTTTATTATTTCTTTCTTAGACTTTATAATAGTCTTCAAAAGAATAAATTATCCAGTTTTAAACTGGGTTAATTCGGTTTGGGTACCGTTGGTTTCCTTTTCTAAGTCATGCTGTTATTCTATGATTTGTGGTATTTAGTAAGCTGCGTTGGTTAGTTTTGTTTAGTATATGATTCCTTTCCAACCGGGTTAAAGGAAAGTTTGAAACATGTTATTATATGTTAGAGTTGTTGAGTGTGAAAACTTGAAACTGAAATTCATTATTTTAAACAATTCTTCGTGGGCGAGCTGTGCGAGTGTGGATAGAATTTCTGTGCGAATGAATGAAAATATCAAAAGGTTAGTACTGCATTTGCATTTATTTAATTTACTACATAGAATTTAGAAATTTACTGCTAGTCATGGGGGAATATTAAGATACAAATTTTCATCATAATTAGATTTACTGCTTGTGGGGGAAAATTTTAGAAATGAATTTACTGCATTGGTATTAAATTTATAAATTTATAAGTGTAAGAGATTAATAAAATTTTTGAAATCTGTTTGATGAAATTTGCGATTTTTATTTGTCTTTTGTGGTTTTTGTAGGTGATCGTCGGATGAAGGCTAAAAATCTAAAGAAAACATGAATAAAGTATGGTGAGTTTTTTAATATTTTAATTAGTTAGTAATATTCATTTAATTCATACTTACCTGTTAGTCGTCGGGGAAAAAACCGTGGGGGAAGATGTCGTGAATGAGTTCTGAAGTTGTTAGTAGTTTAGCTAAGATGCGGATGATATTTTTAGTTTGAAGCAGTGGCCAAAGCAATTGAAGTGCCTTGATAGTGGTTAGTTCTTCAGTGCCAACTGCAAACTCATAAGGTGTGTTTTGGATTAGATTATATAATTTGTGATTGAATTTAGTGTTGTGGATGAATTCTAAAATTGGGATTTCTATAGGTTGTACAAACTCGTGCGGGATAAGGAAGGGTCGGGATTCTTCGGCGTTGAAGGTCTTGGTGATGGGACAGAAGATGTACATTTGGGTTATGGGGTCATAATTACGAAGAATACCATGGAGGTTAGTGTCTTTAATACAATATGTGAAATTTAGGAAAAATGGTGAAGTGTATTTGGAATTAATGAATTGAAAACGATGGTGTGGTTGTCTAGAAGGTGTGTGTAGATCAAAGTGATTTTGGATGAAGCGATAATAACTATATGTGTGGGTTTGTTTAGTGCGCAACATAATATCGTGTGAGCAGTGTAAATCTCTTTCGTGTGGTGCAAGGAAATGAAAGGTTAGTGAAAATATTTGGAAGCGTTCTTTAAAACTTTCGTATGCTTGTGTGTCTGTTAGTGCTTCTGAAATAATGTGATCAAACTTTCGGTCGAAGATGTTTAGTGTGATTGTATATGGTGTCTTGATGAAAAATTTCTCGGTAATTTGTGGATTAGCGAAGCGATCGTCGTCTAAGAATTGATCTTGGTTAGCTCTGATGATGTTGTGATCATAGTATTCGAGTGTATATTCGTTAGCTCTAGGTGCAGTGTGTGTTTTTAGTGATTTTTTATATCCAACGTAAGTAAATTGTCTAGGTGTTAGTGGTGTAGTGAGTCGATATAGCATGTCCGTATTTCGCTCTATATCGATGTGAGTGTTAGATAAAGGTAAGCAAAGAGGGTTAGTGAAATGATAATATGAGGTCCAAGAGAGAGTGGGCATTAAAACGTATTCATCTACGAAGTTGCGTGTTTCGTTAGTGTCGTGGGGGTGTTTAAGGTGTATTGTGGGAATGAGGGTAAGGTGATGGCTAAAAATTCTTTTGTGTTAGTATGCTTGGGGTGGTTGATGTATTCACGGGCTGTTCCTGGTTTTGCTGGGAAAGGATGGTTGGGGAACTTTCTTTTAAAAGTGCGGTAAGCTCTATTAGTGTTGAGTGAAGATTCAGTTGATGTGGATGATGGTGCTAATGATTCAGTATAATTTGAAGAGGGTGTAGGGGTAGGGGGGTTGGATGAATTTATTGTGAAGGAGATTTGGTTTATGGTTGGGGTATTAAGGTGGTAGGGTTGTTGTTGAAGGGTAATAAAATTATCTAGCTCTGGGGAGATTCGGGGGGTGTCTGGAGAATGAGATGATTGGTCAGAATGGTATGAGGAGTAGGTTGGGGTAACTTGGGAAGCATAAGAGGGTGTGGGAGTGATTGGGTCAGGGTTATTGGATAATATGGGTTGAAAAGGGGGTTGAGAAAAATTAGAAGAGTTATGAAAATTATTGGATGGGGATGGTTCTGAGTCGGCGAATTCATCGGGGGTTTCAATATTCGGGTTATTGAGTTGTGAGATGGAATATAAAACTGAGATGTGTGAATTAGTGTCGGAATTCATGCCTGATGTTACATTACTAGATGGAAAATCGGGTGGCGGAAAAGCAAAAAGTGGTATTATTGGGATTGGGGAGGTAAGATTGGTTGGGTGGGAATTTGATCGGTGTAGTGATCCAAGTTGGCGGCTCATCGTGGGCTAAAAAAATGATTATTTTGAGACTGAAAAGCGGTGGTATGGGGTTGTTCAATAATTTGTTCATAAGTATTATCATCTTGTGACTGGTGTGTCATTATATGTTGAATGGGACTTTGTGATGTGGTGAGTCGAAAATTTGGATTATGTGTGATGGCTAAGTTTCGAAAATTTCGTGGGACTAGGGATAGTGGATGATTATTTGGTAGGGGTGGTAATTGTGGTGCCGTTGGCGTTATGTCTACATTGTTATGTTCTTCGTCGTATGTATTTTGTCGTGTTGTTATTTTTGTGTTATATTCTTTTATTTGTGCGTCTAAAAGAATTTTGTTTATAGATGTAGAAAAGATTCCAAAAAATCCTGCAAATAGTATGCGTGCTACACTTGCTTGTCTGTTTACTTGTGTGTGTATAGCACATGTGTTGTAGATTCCTTTTAAAAGTGAGAAAAGAAATCCAATAAAGTTAAACATTGCGTATAAAATAGTCAATTTTTCTAAGATGTAGTAGGGCCATCCTAGAAAATCGAGGATCTCATTTTTGAGTGTAACAAAGCTAAAAATGTTAATTGGTGATATATCTTGGGGACGGTATTTTTCACCGTTTAGATATATATAATCTTTAATGTCTTTAAAATATCCGCTATAGTCTTGCGTGTAGATATCGGCAAATCCTGCGGTTTCTGCAAGTTTGCGTAAATTTTGATCTATTGATTGTCTTTGTATAGTGTCCATTTGTGTTAATAATTCTTGGAATTGTTGTGTTCTAATGTGATGTTGAATATCTGATTTTGAATAGATTCCTATTGATTGTAAGTCTATATTTGGGTTTCGAGCAATAGCGCGAATGCTTTCTGGTGAAAATTTTTTGAGTGATTGCATTAATGTGGGATATGGAGTGAGAAGATAATATTTATTTTCATCAGGGTTTAGTTGTACTACATTGTGGCT